GTTAGGTAGCTTTATTTTTAATGCCTTTGAGCATATTTTAAAATGAACCTGTATTATTAGTTCCTCAAAGACAGTAGGCCTCAAAAATGAAAAACGTGCATTTTCTTTCAGTCTGGCATGAAAGTTGAATGAAAATGGCAAAATAGTATTTTTCCTCATTTTAAGTCTAAGAATTTCATGTTAAAAAAATATTAATACAATCCAACTTTATCTATCCATCCATTCGCTTCCGCTTAACCTTTCCAGGATCGCGGAGCGCTGGAGCCTATGCCAACTGTCATAGGGCGAGAGGCAGGGTACACCCTGGAGAGGTTGCCAGTCTGTTGCAGGGCTAACACATAGAGACAACCATTCGCACTCACTCATTAACTCATAGATTCACACCTATGGGCAATTTAGATTGACCAATTAACCTATCCGCACTAACTGCATGTCTCTGGACTGTGGGAGGAAACCGAAGTACCCGGGGAGAACACAGGCAGAACATGCAAACTGCACACAGAAAGACCCCAGTCTGATGGTGGAATTGAACTTGGGACCTTCTTGCTGTGCAGCAACAGTGCTAACCACCATGCTGATCCAACTTTATACCATTCAGAAATTTCGACTGGTTATCTTTTTTTAATGTGAAGTTTGTGCTCTAATGCCATTATCTATGTCTAAACTCTGGACTGTAGCTTTAAGGCTAACTGTGCCTGTGTGACAAAGTATAAATATGCCAAAATCACTTCACTGGACCATTTTCAGAAACATAAAGTCTCATTTTACCCAATGTACCCAATGTAAATGCAAAATTGAGGACTGGAGTCAACTGAAATAGATCAGTGTGAAAAGGGTTACTAAGCTCTTCTTGAAACTATTTTCACACATGCACTCCAGCCCTAAACTTTTCTACACTTTACCCAACCCGATAGCACAGTAATTGTCCAGTCCTGCAGTGTGATAGAAGGGGTAACTGTGAAAAATATCTGGATCTACCAGTGGAGAATACTTTGAAACATCCAAGGAGACGCAGGCCACTGTCATCTCAGTAAAGAGTTCTGAAAGATCTGAAAATAGGTTAGGAATTGTCATGAAGTCTACTCCCATGCGACTTTTTAAAATATTTTTTGATTCAGACACTGCTGTCAATAAAAATGAGGTGTAATGTGTTAAAAACAAGTAGAAAGGCTGAGTTTTTAGACCACATACTACATGGGTGCTAACACTATGAGCAATGAGTCCTAAGTTTCATTATGCGGGCTGCAGGTCTCTGTCCTCTTTGCTAAAAAAAGAAACAAAACAAAAACAAAAAAAACAATGACACTGACCCAGGTAAGGTAGTTTCTGCTGAATATTTCCAATCTGTATGCTTAGCTTAGCATACAGACCTAAACTGTTAGCTAGCTCAAACGTCATACTGGTCCAACATGAAGGTAAAAAAGTAGATTTCCCAAAATGCCAAACTATTCTTCTAACAGCACTTTAGAGGCAAACATGATTCTGAGTGAGAATGCGGTAAGTCTGGTAACATTTGTAATGATAACAGCAAATCCTTGTTTGCCTAGTATCATGTTTTATGTTGTTAATACTCCTAGACTGTAGGGGGAGCTAGAGAGCCAGAGGGAGTTACCTCGGAGTAGACTGTGATGGCGAAGCTTTGTTTACATGTGAACCACAGTTCGATAAAATACCTCTCTTCAAGTAATGGTGTCATTCTTGAGAACCCACGACAACGTAAAGAAACAAGACAACATTCAGTAATGTTCATATACCCACCCGATGAATGATCCCTGCAGAGTGAATGTACTGTGAAGAAAGAGAAGAAACAGTTTACACCCACAGTATAACACAGCATGTGTCATGTTTAATATAGCAGGCAGTTGCACAGGTTTACTACTCTGTAAACAAAGCCTCCACCCGCACCCACAAACCCAGTTGCTGTGATGTCACAGAAGCACTGATAACAAGGAGAAAACATCTTGCGATCAAAGATTCTGGCAGTTAAAGTCAAAGACACAAAGCTGGCATTGTTTCCCCCTTTGAAACCAGAATTCCATACAGTATCCTGGTTACACATTGATGAGCATTACATGAGAAGCATACGTAAAGCTAACTCACTCTAGCATCCTTTAACTGAACAGCCTGGGTGTGCTCTGAGTGTTTAAAATAAACACAGTTTATTTAAATAATTTAAATAATATAGACTAAATTTAGAACAACTTAGTAAGTCCAGAGAACTGATTCCCCAATCTTAATTTGCAAGATTTATTTCAGTTTGTGTCGCAAATAATAAAGATTTAACAAAGGTTTAACAAATATGCCAGACACCATATTTATATACAGTCCTCCATTTTCAGTGGTGATTGGAAAGTTTTCTGACAAGTAGTTCATGGCCAGGTGAGGCCGATTAAGCAGATAAAAGGTCTGGATTTGATTTGGTAGCTGTTCACTGGACTTAGGCTGAACACAGTAAACCTGTCAGAGAAACATCGAAAACCAACAATCTGGTTCATTCTTAAAACGTAGGAAACCACTCAGCTCAGTGACAGCAAACGGCCCGAGAGGACGATGACAACCACGGTCTGAAGACGTAGAGACTGGTCATGTTTCTCAGTAAATATCTGAGAATACAGACTTGAGTGAATACATTCATTTCGTCATGTTAGGAAGCTGTCTTTCTTTTTCACTCTGCATGTTTCACCTTGTGCTGCTGCTGCAGTCTTTTATTACTTTAAAGCATTCAGTTCAGACTTGTTACTTGCTGACTGCGGCACAGTGGTGCAGCGGTTAGCACTATCGCCTCACGACAAGAAGATTCATGCTTTAAACTGGAGCTTACACATCCTCTCTGTGCTTGTGTGAATTTCCTGCAGGGACTCTGGGTTAATCCGACAGATCTCAGACATGCATGCTGGTCTAATTAGCAATTCTAAATTGGCCGTGGATCTGAGGCAGATAGAGAGTTTGAAGTGTTTAGCCTAAAGCTCTTTGACTGGAAAGAAGTACTAGAAAAGCAATATATAAATGTCAGCCTATTCTATTCCATATACTCTAAGATCCAGCAATTAATTCTTGTCCTCTGTAAGCGACACGAGTCTGAAACCTCTCCATCGACCAAAAATTATGCAACGTATCAGAGTCCAACTGTAGTGTCAAGCGGACATCCTGGTTTTCCTTTTGATGCCACATTTTGGGGGGTTGGTGTAACAGACCACATCGACTTTCGTTTAAAAATCATGAGCATTGCAGCTTCCACATTTCATGGCTACAAGGGAGGTTAGCTGATGGTTTCTTCAACCTTAGGTTCTTATCTTCAGTAGTATTTCAGCTTGTACAGTAATTTTAACTCTTTCAAAACAAAACTTTTATACAATGTCTCTTATAGTGGACAGCAGAACTTACTAACTCCTATTTGTGAGTGAGACAGATGTATAGCCGTCTGGGAATGATGTTGAGGAGGGCCAGAGCAAGAAGGTGAAAGCTCAAAGGACAAACCAGCTTTCAGGGAGACTGAGCAGGGATAAAGTGACTGCACCCAGCGCCCATTGTGGATGAGAAG